TGAAAGGATTCATTTCCAAGTATAATTCATAATAGTTAGCAGAACACTCCAATGAGGGAGGAGGGGACCCAGTTAACTCTTTTTAAATATATTTCATCTCTCTTTGACATTTATACGAGGACAATGCTGCATTTGAGAACATGTTTTAAAACCTGCTTTTTCTTGAAATGCCTAGTAATTTTGGAAGGGAAATCTTTTAAAGAGTGTGCTTTTGATGGGGTGGAGTCAGGTGGGAAGCTATCTGTTGGGGTACTGCTTGTGTATTTTCCTACTAGAAAATAACTTTGAGGGGCTGACCATGTGGCCCAGTGGTTAAGTTCACGCACTACCCTTCGGCGGCCCAGGGTTTCACCAGTTCGGATCCTGGGCGCGGACCTAGCACCACTCATCAAGCCGAGCTGAGGCAGCATCCCACACAGCACAACCAGAAGGAGCTGCAAGTAGAATACACTACTATGTACTGGGGAGCTTCAGGGAGAAGGAGAAGAAGAAAAAAAGGAAGATTTGCAACAGATGTTAGCTCAGGTGCCAATCTTTAAAAATGAAAATAACTTTGACACTTTGAGCACATCTAAAAACATAAGTATATCTCATATTTTCCCTCATCTGTCAGTGGGAGCCAAGGGAGCTAGAGATGGGGGACCATAACATTTATTGAAAAGAGTGACTAAAATTAAAAATTACAGAGTTTTTAAAAAACGTCGATTTAGTAATGACAGATCATTTTTATATTTTGGACCTATGCAATAGTTGTATTCAAAATTTTCTCAAAAATAAAATTTCTAAAAATTAAAAACGTATGTCCATATACATTGGAGCAAAAAGATCTTTTTATACTGATTATCTAAACATTAAAAAGAGCGTAAAGCAATAATTATTTTTGGTACATGTTCACTCTCTTTAGTTAGTTTTTTAGCCATATATCTCTAGTACCCATGTTGCTGATATTTTTTATGAAGAATGAATTGTTTTTAATTTTCTCATAGAGTTACCTGCAATCTCCTTCAGAGTTGTGTTTTATAGTTAATATCTGAAACTGTTACTATTTTCGATTGCCATCTATGTATACATCATAGCATTTTTAACTGAGAAAATAGTCTTTCTACAGATGCATGTAAGCTCAAAGCAAATTCTAGTAAATGGAAGCTTTTCTCAGACTAAGGTTTTTTCATAGTGAAGTGTGTAAATATTTTGGCCCCAATATTTTCACAGGTCTTTTACCCCCATTCAGGATTCTTATCTTCAATAAATATTTTTATAAGACAAAACTCATGAAAATAAGTTTCTCTATGGTCCTTTTGAATGTTTTATCACATTTAGATGACAGAAAATCATAGATTGTTATAATTTCACTCCGTTGTGTTACAGAATATGAAAGTATCCAGTTACAACTAGGAGCACCATCAAAACTCGTCACAAGTCAAGATACTCCAAAACCTCCTAAAACAACTTCAGAATTAAACCTTGGGCGCTGTTTGAGTTCTCATAATTTAACATGTTTAGTTCCTCCTTTGCTTTTGTTGGGATAAATTTCAACATCTTCCTACTTGCAAGCCTTGTTTTCAGTAACTGTGAATGGCTAAACGCTCTTGAAGCTATAGCATTTTGGCGCTTGATTCACTGCTTTGATCAAAGATTTCCAACTGTTTTGGAACAGAATGCACCCAAACTTTACAGGATTCATTTATCATACCATTATGGCACACCTAGGTTGATTTAGAGTCATTTCTCAAACATTTCTAAAACCTTTGATACATGATGACAGGCAGTAAAATAGAAGGCGTGTACTGCCTTGCTGAAGCATTTTTTGTATTCACAAAACACTGTCACAAAAATTTTGTGGTTCAGTTTTTCTAACTGTTTGTCAGTTTCTACATGTGTAGTTTTTTTTGCCTTTGGTAGGACAGAGCCACTTGTTTGAATGCAATTATGAATTACGCATATGTCATACCCAATAACAAGTAACTTCCTACTCCGTAGGTTTCTTGATTTAGTAAGGACAATTGTTTTTAGCATCACAAAATTTGTATTTGCATCACACTACAAAAACAGATCATTTCATCTCTTGTGTTAAATTTTTTACAGTTTGCAGTAGCATTCACAGTAGCATGAGATGTTTCACCTCTGACAGAATCAACTTCCACAGCCTTTATTTCACTCCCCAAAAACAGAAGGAAAAAAATCAAACCGTTATTGGAATTAACTGATTTTTCTGTTTGAAGCACCTGTTAAAACATAAAACTGGAACCATTTAATTGTTTGTGAAGTTTTTTTCTTCTACTAATGAAATGAACACGTTAAAGCTATCACTTCACTTTTCAGATATTCACAAAAAACCTGAAGTTAAAAATAAGCAGAATCAACTGAGAATAGCCGTCATTTGATCTAAAAGAAAAGTCATGCGTCCTAGAGTGCAGTATTACGGAACCTTCTTTAGCTGCCATGTTAAATTGTCATCCTCGGGCACAGTCTGTTACAATAACTATTAACATTTGAAGTAGTTGATGAGACTTCTTCAGCAGATTTGTGACTTATGGTTTATGTAGTGAATGAATGATATCACCAGGGCTCCTTTTGGTGGATCATAAGTAACAACCACCATTTTGTGCAAGTTGACATTCATCATCGACTTTCCTGAAAAACAGAAATTCAGAACTTAGTTTTTCATTAAGTTTTAGCTCATTGCTGCTGAAAGGGATATTGCAAAGTAAAATAGAATAGCCATGAATAAATGACAAAAACACTGTAATGAAAGCATTTCTACCATTCTTGGGAAGGTCTGTTTCCTGCAACTATTGCATGTACACCTGTAGTTTTCTGTTTCCCTTCTGATGGTGTTTTGTGCATCTCGGGCCCAGCATGGGTCACAGCACAGCCAGTCAGTGCAGACAGTGGCAGGGCACTACCCATCGAGAGTTAGCTGCCCTTAGCTGCTTGTGTCCAAGCTCTTTTTGTTTTATTGGTGAGCATCCTGCATGTTTTCCTTGAAAGTGAAGTGTTTACTCACGCCAAGATTGGAAAAGGACAAGAAGAGAGATGGATTGTCATTGGTCACCTTGCAGGCTTAATCTGGTGTTAAGGTTGAAAATTCCCTTCACCGTGCAGTCGTCTCTCCCACTGGTAGGTGAGACTGTGGCAGAAGCTGGGAGGGCCAAGTGGAGGTTATCAAACCCAATCTTGGTGCATTTTAATGCAACATTAATAATAATATTTGGTTTAAAAAAATGAAACATCTGGACAAATGCTCACTCTGTCCAGCTGCCAGGACAATAGGTATAATCTAGCACTTTCACAGACAGGCCAAGGCGTGAGGTCACCCTAGTTGGAGATCAATTTCCCCAGCTGCTTCACACTGTTCTTTTCGTCTGGACTCTTCTGATACCATGACTGCTCTGCCCTCTCGTGTTGCCTTCCAATCCCACTTCCCACAACAGCTGAGGGAGCTTTTAAAAATTGGTGTGAGACCACATTGCTGGGTAACACCCCTCTGTGTCTTCCTGTTGCAGCTGGAATAAAGTCTAGCTCTTCGGCCTGGCCCAGGGGGCCTTGCGTGCTCCCACCCTCGCTCAACTGGCTTCTCTAGATTTTAAGCTTTCAGGGGGCATGTACCTTGCCTGTCTGTTTTCTTCACCAGCGTGGCACATGAGAGCTGCTCGGTCTATCTTCTCAAAGGAATGAATATTTGAATTGAAAAGGAAAGAAGAGGGAATGTCTTGCTAATCCATGGTGGTAAGGAAATGCAAGTCTAAATCTCTGTGTCCTAAATATTATTTCTATCTCTGATAACAAAGTTGGACAGCAGAATGTATCACAGAACTAAATCCTCCCATTAGCAGAGGTGTTATGTAGCCTGTAAACCATTCTGATTCCACAGTCGCCCAGCCGCTCCCCACCCGGGGAAGTAAGTGTGAATTACAGCGAGTCTATTGTTTCCACCAGCATTAGGTCAGAGATTTTGTTTTAAGTACACTTGGCATACAGGAGGAAGAAAGATGGTTCTCTGGTTGATTTGGGGGGTGGTTGGGACATATGGTGTTGGTGGTAGAGGAAGGTTTTGAAGTCACGATTTTGCGATCTTGCTGTGTTCTTACACAACTGCTTTCCGTTGGATCTCTTTAAAACATGCTACTGTTCAGTTTTATCATGAATGCCTTTCCAAGGACAGCAAATGGTTTTACACACTATGACATCGTTTCCATGGCAACTAATGTATTTTAGCAAAGAGAGACTCGGCTAGAAGTAGGCTAAAAAGGACAAATACAGAAATGGCACAGTGTAAAATGTGGGGCAATGTGTGTTGTAGTAAAGATTTTTTTCTGACTTCTGTTTAGGAAAACCCGTATAACTAGATCTTGGCTTCTTAACTCTTCCTAATAAAATTTTTACTGCACCCAGCACTGTCTAGTATTTTGCTGACGCAATTCCTTTAGTTGGCACTTGGATGTGTTCGCTTGCTTTAACACGATGCTCATTCTATCAACCTCAATTTGTAATTTCATCCATTTTTAAAATAGGGTGTTACCGGTAGCAGCCACTTCACTTCTCTGCTGCCCTTCGTTGCAGCACTTCTTGAGAGGATTGTCTACACTCTTTCCACACAGCATTTGTTGAAAAATCCAAGCCATTCCAGTCTTCATCCCACCACTTAATCCAGTTGGTCCCACCTTGTTCTCTAAGCCTATTAGAATTTGCCTCTTTTGTTTAGTTAGAAGCTAACATGCCTAAGTATACATTTGAAATAATTTTACAAAACATCAAGCCTCATGTATGAGCATTTATGTAAACTCTGGTTTTAAAAAAATAAGAGATCATGGGGCTGGCCCCGTGGCCGAGTGGTTAAGTTTGCGCGCTCCGCTGCAGGCGGCCCAGTGTTTCGTTAGTTCGAATCCTGGGCGCGGACATGGCACTGCTCATCAGACCACGCTGAGGCGGTGTCCCACATGCCACAACTAGAAGAACCCACAACGAAGAATACACAACTATGTACCGGGGGGCTTTGGGGATAAAAAGGAAAAAATAAAATCTTTAAAAAAAAAAAAAAAATAAGAGATCATGTTACCCTACTTTGTGCATCTGAATGTACTTGAATTATTTTGTTAGATGATAATAAAGCCCCTTCCTTGCTCCAAAATTAGTCAATCTCCTATTTAACAGAAAGAGAAACCAAGGGATACATCTATGACTTATAAAGATAGCACATCAGTCTGTGAGCTGGATCATACCCTCATTTATGTTTTATTGGGTGCATTTAAAAAATTTAAGCCAACATTTTAAAATTGGGCAGTTTTGTATAAAAACGAAGTTTCTCAATTCTCTTAAAAAAAATTGGAAGGTCTGGCGAAAGTGAGCCTGTATTCTCTCATGACAACAGCCTGCCCAGCAGGGTTGTGGTTGGTCCCTTGGGACAGGCAGGGTCTTCAACCCGCACCTGCAGCCTCTCACCTGCTTCCTTCATTCATTTTACCTTCCTGGCCCCTGTGGGTGGTTTAATATGTGACCCTTGCTGCATCCCCTCCCCCTACCCAATCACAGAGCAAATAAATAGCAGAGCTAGGGATAGAACTTGATTTCCAAGCCAACTGCTTCCTCCCCGTGGACCAGAATTGTGTATTTTGCAGAGTAGTTCGTAGGCCAGTGGTGAGAGGCATGTTTAGATGGTAGAGCCTCCGTTTTGCACCTTACTGCTTGAAATAAACCCTGAAATTAATTGTGCTAGGTACATTGTTCGTGTCTGGGGTGCTCCCTTCTTGTTTGCCTCTATCAGAAGTAAGTTGTATGTGCTGTCAGTAGTGACGTGCAAGATGGAGGTGCTGCAGTGAAGTGTGAACGTTTCATTGTGCATAGAAAAACTGACCAGAAGGGGAAAGCTCCAACATCATAACAGGGGTTCCAGATTTTCCAGATTTGCAATGAGCATATGTTACCTTTTCAGTGAGGTATATAAAAGAAATGAATGAGGGAGTAGGACAAAGTATATATGACATTGGCTGAGTCCCATGGTGTCCTCCCAGTGCAGGAGACTCAAGGCATTCACAGTCACCTTTGCTGTCCTATTGCAGACTAGACCCTTTCCTTCGAATTCCTTCAAGGGTTCCCTTGATGTCAGTGTGCTGAAGATGTCCTTCGAATGGCATCCACCTCTTACCAACCTTGTCACTGGCCTGTGCCCATCCCCATGGTGAATGTGTACTTCACACTGCCCCTTTACTTGGGGTGGGGTAAGATGGGAGAAGAGGTTGCAGTCACTACCATCTGGAACCTTGTTAGAAGGTTCATGTGTGCAGGAGGACACGGGAGAATGAGCTAGTCTGGAGCCAGAATGAATGGCTAGAGGAAAGCACAGTTTTCCTAGGGAAGTGGGGTAGCGAGGAATACCCCAAGACAAAGGGCCTTGTCTGAGCTGGATTCTGCCTCCAGGGCCTGCTCCAGCTGTTGGGCACACAGGAGACGTGGTGACCCTGAGCGTGGACCATCCCAGACACTGCCCTGCGTGTCCGTGTGCAGCTGTGGAGGCCTCGGGAGCCCACTGTGAGAGTGGGCCTGTTCCCAAGCTTCAGGCGGGGAGCCAGGGGCTGCCCCTTCGCCAGAAAACATTGAGGAGCTTCTGTGTGTGCTCTGTGTGTGTCTCAGCTTTCTTTGGAATTGTGGCAGAGTCTGGCCCTGCCTGGTCTTTTTTGTGCCTTGGAGCCTAAGTTAAGAATAACCGAAGGAACACTGTCCCTGTTGACACGCTTGAGATGGAAGTTGCTATCAAATGGCCATTTTATCCTCGGTCGCCACTGACATCACACCACGTACAGCTCTGAGGTTCTCACTTTAGTTTTGATTGAATAGAGCTATGATCACTGGAGCAGAAAGAAGCCATTCAGATGTGAATGTGTGAAGACGTGTCTGGTAGTGTGCAGATGTTTTTTGGCAGGTCAATGAATATTTTAAATCTTTTGCAAGTAGTGAAAAGGTTGATTTGGGAATAGAGGAGATTCTGTGGCAAGAGAAAAGTATATCTCATTTCTCTCTCAGTCTTCCTTTTCTTAAAATAATCGAACAAAAACCCAAACCACGATGTAAATCTTGGGTTTATCATGGCCTGTAAATCTCCTTCATCACATATGAGATGTGATCATGACTAATGTGTCGAATCTCAGTTTCTCAGTCATACTTTTTAAGTAAAAAGGAAACACTGGGCAATATTAAAAATAACGGCAGAATCTCCAGATTGGATCTTTGTCATTTATTTATAGCTAGAGACTCAGGACTAAATCTAAAACAAAAGTCATTTCCTGGTTATCTATATGCTGTCTGTGGTATCCGGGTACTCCCCAGGTTCATACCCTCCACCCTCCCCAACACACACTCCTACTCACGCATGCAGGAGGGAGCAGGGCCGGCTTGATCCAGGGCCGTTTTGTTTCTTTCACCTCTGTTGGTCAGTTCTTCCTTAGTTACTCTGTCACCGCTCCTCTTCACCCTTCACCCCTCCATCAGCAGAGATGGCACAACTCCTGTTGTGTTGCAGACACTGTGCCATCCTGGCCACAGACGGGTGGCATTCGAGCAGGGGAGACCGTGAACACAGGGACTGTGTAAAGTGCTATGAGGACACAGAGGAGAGGAGTCTACTTCTGCATAGAAGTGTGACCATAGGGAAACAAGAGTGAAAAGTGGATTTGTCCTGGGCCCTGAAGGCCAATTAGGAGAAAATATACTCCCCCAGTAAGGTTGGTGAGACAGGAATGATGACGCTTAGCTCAGTGCCAGGAATCTGCTGGGGGCTGTCTCTATTTTCCTGCCCCTTCCTAGGAGAAAGGCGGGTTGAAAATACTCTGGGCAGTGCAGCCGTGTGCCCCGAATTGGCGGACCTCCTAGCTGGCATACGCTCTCATGCTCTGGCCTCTGCCTTTGTTTCTCACCTTTCTCCCACCAGCCCACCACCGTCCTCTCACCTCGCCCCCTCTGGCCTGTAGCACTACCAAGCCTCTTGCCATTCCTGGAGCATGTGGCTAATGCCTCTTTGACTGTGTCTTTTCCTCTGCCTGCACCGCCCTATGGTGAGGTGCCTGAGGAGATGTCCCCTAGGCATCTGGAAATACAAGAGCAGTGGGGGCTGGAGGGATGGCCATATCAGGAGAGAGTTCGAAGGTTTATTTTTAGAGTTTTCTCTAAAAATAAAAATCTTTGTGTATTCTCCCAAAGATGGAGGATTTGATCTGATCTAAACAGTTGGGAGTGGTTCATTTTTGGTCAGGGCCTCGTCCTCTGGCTTCCGTTCCTGCAGTCGAGCACACATTTGCAACATTTACAAATCAGCCTTTTCCACTGGGGAATCTGGGTCACTTCAGTCATGATTCTCAAACGAAACATCAGCACTACTTCAGCAGGAAGAATAAAAGCATGGAAAATGCCCTAATGCCCACAAGCCCACAATTGAATACATGGTCAACTATTTCAAATGTCTGTCTAACTACATATTCACATCTGTATTCATACACACGCACACACACACACACACACACACACACACATATTGGGAGGGAGGGGTCTATCTTGCCTTAAGCTTTAGAAACTTAAAACTTGGATATTCCAGAAATCTGGATTAAGAGTAAAGATAAAGTCGGAGAATAATTGGTCAATTTTTTAAAAAAATTGTTTTTTAGAAATATAAAAGTCGTTTAAGTAAAATGCAACTCTATTTCACTTAAACATTGGATGACTAAAATTTATTTATTCTCAACTTTTCAGAGACACAGCCTTGATTTAAGAAAGATATACCTAGTTTTGAAAACAAATGCCATTCTTCATGCTAGAAGGGATTGCCGTGTGAATTTTACTTTTAGGAAATTCTGTTTCATCCTACCGTATCCTCTTTGAAACAATGGAACTGGCGTCTAAAAATATCTCAGGCCGCGTGTGCTTGCTGGGAGTCTTTGAAGTTAAAGCTGTGACATCCTTCTGGTTTATGGCTGCAGGATGATGCATATATGGATTGTCTTCGTTAATTAACTCCATCTGTTTAGTAAGCGTGAAAAACAACTTGGATGATGCCACATAGATGTATGGATGGATAAGATTCCTTGTGCACCAGTAAGATTCCTTGTGCCAGCAGCTCCAAATAGGTTTTCAGTTTTCCTTTTGGTACCGGTTTCTAAAGTACGGTGGAGGGAAGACTCATTCTTTCAGAGCCTGCTGTTGAATTGGGCATCCTGTGAGGTTGCAGTTGTGCTGTATGCGTGAGAGAGGTTAAGTTTCCTCACTACTTGGAAAAGGGTGATGATTCTCCAAATGCTGTTTCTGTGGCGGATAAAGGAGTCTTTCAGCCTGCAAATAGAAAATTCCATTCTGTAAATCAGAGTGACAACCTTCCTAAACCTCTTTGGAAATGGAAGTCAGACTTCCACTGTATATATGTTCCCTTTGGTGAAAAGTTCTCAGAGTACTGAATTACTCTTTGCTGGTCCTAGGGAGACCAGTTAAAATTTCTGGACAGAGGATATTCCCATTTTTTACAGATCAGCAGTGTCTTGATCCCCAGTGGGTCAGCCAGAAGAAAAGGCCTGTATTGCCTGGTGGTGTCTCCTTGGTTAGGACAGGACAGCATGTCTCAGAAGAAAGAAGGAGAGGAGGTGATGTGGGTTGCTAAGGTACGAGCTGTGGTGGCATGCTCGTTAGCACATTCTCTCTCCAGCCTCTGGGCTGGTTCTCTTGCATGTCTGTGCTGAGTTCATGATTTGAATGCCTATCTGCAGAAGATAATATGTGAGTTGCTAATTCTCTTCTCCATGGTCATTTTTCTTTCCTTCATTCTGAGTCATCTTTGATTAAACAAAACAAAGATGTTACTGTTAATTATGCATCCTTTTAAACATCATAAAAATTCTCTTTTGTGTGCGTGTGGGGGGATGGTTTTAATGGGGATAGTAATTTATGATGGGGGTATTTTAAACCATGGACCAAGAAGTAAGATGCTAAGAATCACACTGAAAAAAAGTTTGAGTCTCTACGAAGATAAGAAAAATTGTTTCTGCTTCTTTTTTTTTTTTAGATTCCTCAAACCTTTCACTTTCTGCCCTAACATATTATTGTCAACATAATTCCACTCAACCATTTTTATTGTTCTCTTTACACACCTTATTAAAACTGAAGCTTTGTTCAAACAGCTGAAATTGCAAATAGTAAACGAGGTACCATAATATTGGCAGGTTGTAGGCAGAGTGTATAAGCAAATTGGAAATCTGGCACCTTACTCCTAGCACTTTAAAGATTAATGTGAAGTGGGCATGGGTGCCATGAGAGTCAGCATTCTGCTTTGCCAGGGGGCTTGGCACAAGGTAATTCTGGGGCTGCAGCTCTGTGGACAAGTTGGTGCAGGCTGGTGAGTTGGCAAACCTCCCAGAGAGGGGACCCCCAGCTGATGGGAAAGAGAAGCCATCCCAAGAAGGCTGTTTGAGTAGTGAGGCCCACCCACAGCCAGACAGGAAATGGGGCAGATATGGGCTGGGGGCTACAGGGAGATTGTCAAGGGGTAAGTTGAACAAGACCTTGGAAGATTCATTTTTAATGTGTCCCAACCATGGATGACTTGTAGGCACTCTGAAGAAGAGGAGTGTGTGTGTGTGTGCGTGTGTACACACTCAAGACCTCCATCCTTATCTTTCCTGGCTCTGGAAAGTTAAAATCTCATGCTGGCTTCCTTGTGTGGTACAGGGCCAGGTTTTTGCAGTTGCAGGCAGGTGTTTGTGGCAATTGTGACTTAGCAACAATTGTGTGAACAAGAAAAAAATTTGTGGGCAAATTGTCTGCAGCAAATGGAAATTCTATGGTGGTACTTTGTGGGTGGTTTACAGGCAAAGCGTGCTCAGTTCTCTTTTGATGTCTGTTTTTTTTTTTCTTCTACAGTTTTTTGAAGAAGCAGGATGCTGATCTAGACGTGGAAAAAGTAAGTTGACAAGTTTTGCACTGAGAGCACATGCCTTGTACATTAGAAAGGGTTTCCCATTGGGACCCAGGACTTGGTCCACTTTGAACTTGGGATTGTGACTCTGAGTCCATAGGTTTCTAAGAGAGAGGTTGAGTTGGAGATGGAGCTATTATATGAAATAGAAAGTTTTAGTTCACTTAGGTGAACCTGCTGTTTTTTCCTGTCCCTTATTTGTAACACTCAATTTTGATAATTATGGGCACATATGTTTTAGCTGTAAGATATGTTTCCCCACCTTAGAAATAGAATGGAACAGCTGTCCCATGGCTGATGAGCCTTCAGGGATGGTGAGGGGTGGGTAGCACTCCATCTTCAGACTGGTTAAGGGAGGTTCCTTTTAGTCCATTCATCGTTGGTTTTTCCTTCACTCTCAGAGGGCTACTGCTTACCTTGGTCCTGATTGTACCTTTGAATTGCAGTCAGTGTGTAACAGGTCATGCTTTCATTAACTTAACATTTTTTTGGTGCCCTCTGAGTGTTAGACACCATGCTGGACTCGGCTGAGACAAAAATGAATGTGACAGATGAGTACACAGGTGATTATTATACAATGTGATGGAGCGGTACAGAAGGGGCTCTGGGAGCTCAGACTGAGGGCTGGGCTATCCAGAAGAGCTGCTTGCTGCAGGAGATGTGTGAAAGAACCGTGAATTCATTCTTTCTGCCAATGTTGGCAGAGTCTTCTCTGCCTGTGCTTCTCGTCTCCCAGGCGCCTCGGGCTCCCATGAAAGATCACCCACAGGATCCTTTTCTGCCCCAGACTCCGCTGCCCAATCACATTGCCTTGGGTCTAATTTTTCAGCGGTTCTGAGTTGCATTCCTTGATTCCCTGGCCACTCAGGGGCTGTCACTTTGTCATCCTGGAATGACTTGGAGTTATTTCTCATTTTGAATTTGTGTGTAAGAGATGATCTTCTCCCTTAACTAGAGCTATCGTATATGCAGACAATGGACCTTTATTTTAAGTTGAGGAAGTATACTATCTGAAATTCGTTCTAGAACAGTTATGAGCCACCCCTGACGTTCCACCTCATGCAAGCCCCTGGCTTCTGCAGAATGGTCTATGTTCTACTTTAAGTTGTGGCCTTTTTAGCTCATACAAACCAAGGGGACTCAGGGAAATAAAAGTCTCTAGTCAGGGCCAGGCGGAAGGGAGCCTTGTTAGAACCTGCATGCACTTAGGTTTTGGCCGTGGAAGCCAGGGGTTGGCAAAGGCACTCCCTATGGAGGTGAGCACTGTGGCCCTCCTGGGCCAGGCCCACAGCAGGCTGGAGCATTTGGGTGTCAGGAGCCACCTCAGGGTGACCTAGCAGAGAACAGCTGGAGCACCTGGTGGGCAGTCCAGGAATGCCTGGTGCTGGCCTAGGCTGCAGGGCTTGCCGACCTCATGCGGTCCTGGCAGAAGGGCATCCTGCTACTAGCAGAGGGGGAGCTCCAGCTGATGGAGGAGGCAGGTCTGTTCATTTGTGTTCCCAGTACAACCCAGTGCCAGGCCGATGAGAGGGTTCCGTAAATGGGGCAGGAAGCCCTGGGTGGAATGCATTAAATTCTTACTTCAGCTCTCCTGTTCGTTTGCTCTAAGATCTCAGGCCAATCTTTTCTCTTCTCCAAGCCTCATTTTTCTCATCAATAAAGGGGTCTCTTTTCCTGAACCAAGTGAAATTCTTCATTTTTTAACTTAAAAACACAAACTATACATATTTTTTTGTTTCTGACTCGGACTTTGTACCAAAAAGGATAAAGGCTGTTGGCTGCCAGTCTGAAGAATGCCTCATAAGGCCACTGCGGGTTGGGAGCTCCTTAAAGGCCGAGCTTTGTCTGTGGTACCTCTAGGTACCACCCCGGCAGCAATGAGTGTCTAAAGAAGGAGTGAACAGGGTGACTGACCCTGTCATGTGGGTTGGGTATTTATAAGAACTGAGGGGATTCAGAATAAGAGAAGCTGAATGTGGGGTGAGAAATGCTTCTGGGACTGCGTGAGTTTGAGCTGCCTCTGAAGGGCTCTGCCTGCACCCCCTCAGTCAAGCAGTTAATGACCTGAAAAGCATTTAACCACCCTAGAGGAGCTCACGAATTGAAAAGTTCCAATTCCAGAATCTTTTCCTAATGCCCCTAGAAGGCTGTCGAGTACAGATGTATCGACTGTTCTTTTTGCCTGTGTTTATCTGCCAAGAACAATCTGGTGTAGGGTGTGCCTCCATTGTATAAGTAAATGGTACCTGTTGGCCAACTCGAGTGAAGAAAAATCACGAAAGTCATAGTGAGTTTTTTTAAAGTAGGTTTTTGAGTTTTCTCTTTCAGTTGAACATTTTTGTAAAGACAGAACTATGAATGGAAAATTAGCTTTGTTTTTTGACGTGTCAAAGCTCAAAGATAAATTAGCATAAACTCTGTAATTATTATTATCTATAGTTTATTGGACCTCCACTACATACTGAGTGCTTTATATGTGTCACACTTGAGTGTGACAACATTTGTGAGGGAACCACGTTCCTTACCATGAGTGCTGAGGCACCACTGTAATAGCAAGGGTTCTAATCAGATCTGTCTGGGTCCAGAGCTTCTCTTTCCCATGCCCCACCTTATCTTGGAACTGATAGAATATTTGAGACAATATATTTGTATGACCTCTGTTAAAATAACTTTTATCAGTAAAGTAATAAAAAAGCAGTGTTACTTTCTAGAGAGGTCTTCCTAGACGTTCTCCCTTCTAATCGGTTGGGCTTGCCCTACCATGGACTTCTTCAAAGCTGTCATTGTTGCTGTATAGTTATTTGTACAATAACTGTCTAATATCTGGGTTCCCTACTGAACTGTAAGCTTTGTCAGGTCTGAATCCTTCCCTGTGCTCAGCCTAGTGCCTGGCTCCTAGTATCCCGTCTTAAAATGTTGACTGCAGGCTTGCGTGAGTGGCACATGACCAAATTAAGGGTAATGAGAGCCAGTGAAAGCCACTTTGTTAGGTGGCAAAGTAGAAAATCTTATTCCGTACCTCAGAAATCAGGTTTCTCTTCTCCATCTATGGGTTTTATCTGTGAAAACCATGCTTGTTAATAGCATTATGTGGAGATAAGACAATCATTCCTTGGCTTTCTCTCCAAAAATACAAACTTTCAAGCAGACAAATGAATAGATAATTCTTGAGAATGAAGTAATCTGGGCAAGCAAAGAGAGTCTGAAGATAAAAGAGGGAGGAGCAGTTAGAGCACAAGGGAAACATTAAAACTTTTTTTTCCCTTTTTGCTCAGAATCTTCTAGAATTGTTGAGGGATACACTTGTGAGTATGGTTTCCATAAATCACTGATTTAAATATGTAAAATGTATTTTCTAAAAGCAAAACCCATACTCAAGTGAATTTTAAAGAATACGTAATCAGGTTATGTCAGAGGAAGAAAAATGCACTTTTTTAAAAAATAAAAAGCTGATTAAATTGAGCCACCCTATTTAGTAATTTTAATCATGATTTAAATGGATTTGATTAAAACAACATCTACTTTGGTCATAGCTACTCTCAAAGGGCTGAGGAGAGAGGCTTGATTTTCGTGTATCCCGGATGGCCTTTGTCTGGCATGATTAAAAGTATTTTTGCGCCTGCCCTGAGAGAGGCCCCTGTCATTTCTGATGTTTCAGTGAGACCCAGAATTCCTGTTTTCTCTTCCAACTGTTTGCAGGGTGTAGATAGCTGCCTTCAGGCCACGAATACTACTGTCTATTTGATAGACAGAGCCCTCACCAAATAAAAACTGTCATTCAAAGAGAAAAGTAAATAGGAAAATTACCTCCTGCTTTAGGTTTCCTTTTTCTCAGCAAATTCCTTGAAATGTGTCAGTCTGTAAATGTAGAATGTATGTAGAAGTTGCTCCATTTTTCAGTGTTTCTTTTGTTTTCATAAATCCCAAGAGAAGTGGTAAAAATATCCTAGATTCTTATTGTGGGGCTAATAGTCTTGTGAAAAAAAAAATCTGATTCTAAACAATTGTAGGTTCAAAATTCAAGACTGCATCTGGAACCAAGGCTTAAAACCTGCATACGTGATTCCTACACAGCTGGCTGAGATGTGGAAACATTAATTCATATAAGACTTCTCTTTACTGAGGTAATAGGATTTCCAGGGGTCAGAAGGTCAGCAGTGCTTATATGGGGTAGCTAAAGGCTTGAGAATGCTGGTCACTGGGAAGGCATGAGGATGTGCCTCCAGTGGGAATGCGGGAAGTGTTGGCATTGGATGTACTGCCTCACTGTGTACGCTGGTTGTTATAAGGAGGTAGGAGAAAGAGTGAGGAGGAGGAAGGGAGGAACAACGTAAGCAAAACTCGCTGCCATCTGTAGAAGCCATTGCTTCCAGAATGGAGGGCAGGGCTCAGAGGTACTTGTGGGGACAGGAGAGGGCAATTTCCGTGTGCACATGGGAGTTATCCCTTAAGCCCTCTCTGATACACGTTCTCAGGGCTGCCAGCCCCAGAGCCTAGAGGATGCTAAGTTAGCTCCCATTCTCCATGGCCCCTGCCCTGCCTCACACACAGATTGACCCATTCTGCTGGTAATTGGGCCTTGGGAAAGACCAGCCACTCTGTCAGTGAGTAAAGGCCAGGCTTCACACAGCCTGTTTTCCTGGTGACTGGGGATCAGGAAAAGGGAATGGCTTTGGGTTGAGGGGAGGGGTGGCATTTAGGAGAGAGGAAGTGCACACAGTTCTGTTTCAGAGTGAAGAGCAAACATTTTTAGTCCTGGACCAAAAATAGTTATTATGCACCACCCATAATAACTGACCAACTTTCTTTAACGTAAATCTCTGGATTGTCAAACGAAGTGCTGCTGTCCAAGAAGAAGAAACATGCTCCTGCCAATTGCAAGATAATCAAAGGATTTCCAAGATAACAAAAGATCCCTCTTCCTAGACCTTGTAAACCCAGGCAGATATTGCTAACAGAAGAGCTACAGATAACACAATTTATGTTGTGATTCAAGAAATGAGTTAGAGAATTGTGGTGGCTTGCCTAGTCCTGGATTCAGAACAGTTAATTCGTTTGTTCCTCAAACATTGATGAACACCTGTGGGCCAACCACTGTTCTAGGCCACTTGTTGTCTTAGTCAGTTGCCCTGTTTGACATGTGAGGAAAATGAAGCTCTATGGAAGTGAAATGATGTGCCCACGGACTTAATCTGGGAGTAGCATGATCCGAAAGTGGGTCTTGGACTTGGAGCACCCTTCTCTTTCCGCTCTACAGTGATGTCCTCTTGTACTGAAGCTCAGCAGAGCCAACGAATCATCAGCAGCCTCGTGTAATGTAACTGGTAATTTTATACACATCTTTCGTTTTCTCTTCACTGAATTTAAAAGGGCGTTCTCCCTTATTTGTGGTTTTGAAGATAGTAATGATGTCTTTATCAAGGAGAAATTAGAAACTTAAAAGGGGAACCATCTCTTTAAACCTGACCTGGTCCCACTAGGTGGTCCCTTTGGTGACCAGTGTGAGAGTGACTTCCAAAAACAGCATTCTGTGGCGGTGGGAGCCTGTGGGACACTCATTGTCTTCCCACAGCCAGTTCCTAGGCTCTGGGGTCATTTTATTATATTCCTCATCTCAGTAGCATTCGTCATTCTAGAAGATGAGAGCTGGATGTTGTCAGGAGAGAGTAGGGAGAAGCACTGCCCACATTACAATAGAGAATCAAGAGGAGCTCCCACCTGCTCTGTAGGCTTCCTCCTGTAGCCTTGAGATGCTGCATAATTTGTTCCACCACAGCCAAGCCTGCTGGGTAGGGGTCGGAATCCTTTGGTTGTCTGCCTTGCATAGACTTACAATTTCGCTGAAATTGCATGTGAAGGAGAGATTATTAGTAAAATATGTATGAAGAATGGCATGAAAGATGTTTTTGTCACTGCCTGTAAACTCTTCTAAAAGCAGAGCTGCACTTGTGCTGGGACTGGTATGGAATAGACCATAAAAATTGAAGCTTTTCCCTTAAGGAAGGTTATTATGGCCCACAATACAGTTTTATTGAAACAGAAAACCTTCTGTATTAGTTTGCCATGGCTGCCATAACAAATGACCACAAATTTGGTGTCCTAGAACAGCAGAGATTTATTCTCTCACCATTTTGGAGGCTAGAGTCCAATAGCAAGATGTCAGCAGGACTGTTTTCCCTCCAGAGGCTTTGAGGGGAAGTGTGCTGCTCGCCTCTTCCAGCTTCTGGTGGCTGCAGGCATTCATTGGCTTGCGGCCACATCACTCCAGGCTCTCCCTCCACCTTCACGTCACCTTCTCCTCTGTGTGTCTCTATCAGATTTCCCTCTTATAAGGGATGTGATGGCTTTTAGAGCCCACTGGATAATCCAGGATGAGCTCCTCCTCTTGAGATCCTTAACTTTATCATCTCATGTCATAGAAGGGGATATTTACACATTGCAGGGGTTAGGAAGTGAATATATTGGGGAGATGGTGGACATTTTCTGCCTCCCACGCTTTCTCTTTGGGAATTTCTCTATTTTTCATTTCCTAAAACATAAAGCTTGTGATCACTTGCTTCACATATTACTTTAGTGAATTTGAATTTCCTGGAAATCAAAGAAAGACCCAAAAACAAAACTTGTCTCCTAGGCCTCAGAAAAGGCAAGGCCATGTTGGGGTTAATGTAAGATTGAAGAATTATGGGCTCTGAGAGCAGGGAGGGGCCTTCGAAATCAGATCCTCCCGGTTTTAGGGGGAAACTGAGGCTGGAGGTGCAGGGTCATCTGAGTCAGGAGTGGAGATGGGACCAGCAGTTAGTACTTCACCTCACCTCTTCCTCTCTTCCTGCAGGACCCCAAGCTGTCTCTCGATATTTAAGCCTCTAGGTCATTCTTCATGTGAGAGCTCTTCAGCACCTGAAACCCCATCTCTGCAAACCCTCCTTTCCTAGACCAACAGCCCTGGTTCTTACAAATATTCTTACATTACCTGATGTCAGGCATTCTGTCATTCTGGATACTTCTTCCTGGATGCCTTCCCTTTATGTCATTGTCTCTTTAAAAACATGGCACTCAGACATCAACAATACTTCAGAGATGGCTTGACCAGTGTAGAGTAAGGACTCTATTCCTAATACTCTTAGGCCTTGTGAGATGCACATGTTTTCTGTATCATCAAATGCTGTCGTAATGCAGACCAAGATTACATCTCTAATTTAGCCGCTCTGTCGCACCTCCAGCTTCATTGAGCTTGTGTTCAATAAAAACCTTTAACACTTTAAAATATGAATTGCTTTAAACCCATCCCCTTTGCCCCTGCCATGTAGAAGAGCTGGGTTTCTGTCAGTAGCAAGATGGGATCAGCTTGAGATCCAGAATATAGTCCAGATGGGGATCCAGAGAACAGATAGATCCATGGGCTGGGGCATGCTCATAGGGATGGCACCAGCAGCAGGCAGTGAACAAGAGGCAGTTAGGACAGTCTGGTAAGGGACAGCACTGGGATGTTCTTCCATAGGTGGCAGTCCGGATGGACAGATGTTTGGCAGAATTGTCTGGCTGAGCAGGTTGAGGGGCCAGATGAAAGGAGCACTCGTCAAGTACAGGGACAAGACTCCAGCCAGAAAGCTGATGAAAAAGAGTTGGGTCCAGAAGAACAAGTTACAGAGTTGCCTGCCGAAATGGGGTGGGGCCCAAGACATGAGCTTGAGGCCAAAGAGTAAAAGGAAGCCCCAGGTCTGAAGTCAGGGTCATAACATTGTTGCCAGTCTGAGTGGCCTGAAGCCTCACTGACCCAGAGCCTGGGGTCAGGCTTGCTGGCAGACCTTGTGAACGAGGGTGAGGTGGCCCAGCTGAGCAGATTGGAGGGTGTAGGGCAGGTGATGACACTATCCTATATAAATACAATACATAGACATTTTACAATCAAGAGCAGGATTTTATCTCTATTAATTTTAGGAGTTCTTTTGTTGTTTTGGTCCGTTCTGGCAGTCATCCCAGCCTGCTAAAATCATTTAAAATCTCTATTCTTTCTTCAAATTAATTAACTGTCCCCTTTCAGCTGTGAATTAGTTGTGGTCTCCATAAGCATATCTCGATGAAAACATTAACCAATGACAAATCTACAAAGTTGTGCTGTACAAGGACCTCCCTCCAGGTCACTGCTGCTCCTCTGTGTTGTTAGTGTCCTCGGATGTGGTCAGCTAACTCTGAGTCCACCAAACTGAATTGTCACTTGGCCCAGCATTTCCCGTCTTGCTCAGCTCTGCTTTGAATGACCATCGGATGCTTTGTTGCCATCTAGGTGCTCTGTGTCCATAACCTACCACTCTGATAGTCCTGTGAAAATGCCCTGAGATGGAGGCAGTCCTACGGGAAGGGAGAGTTCTAGAATGCTTGGTTATTCTTTTGGTTGGTGATGCTTTGAGAGCAGAGGTACCTGGTGGTTCTCACTGACGTCAGTGGATTTCGATCCTGAGCCCCACTTCCTGTAACACACCTGTGAGTGTTAGCCAATGGGTGATTTTTAAGGAGGGACTAGAACCCCATATTCAGATGTGAAGTCCTAATCTTTGTTCTAAGGGTTCACCTCTACTAAAGACCAATTCACCTTTGTGGGTTGTGTGTGGTCTGCGGAGAGCAGCCCCCACTGTTAGGTGAATACAGCTGCTTCTCGGAAGAGGTAAGGGTGTTCATTAAGTTGTGAAATGTGCCACTACTGAATATAGTTAAGAGTGTAAAGTGGAGGAAAGGAAGTGAGAGGCTGTATGGATCATTTCTGTTAACAGAAGAAGGGATAGCACCACAATTCATCCTTCTGTGTGGTCTTTCCCAATGAGACTGCCAAGAGAAAGTGAGATGGTTTCAGGGTCCATCATGAGGCAGCGTAATGTAGTGGGAAGAGCGTGTGGGCCTCCAGAGCTTGAGTAAGCTCTGACGGTGCCACTGAAGAGCTATGTGACTGTTGGCTGTGGGGAGGCAGATAGTCATCAAGTGTGAACTTAAACTGTGGTGAGTGTCTGACGGGGAGGCACAAGGTGCTGCGAAATTGATACACGAGGATCCCAGAGAGGAGCTAGATGAATAGATGCTGATGAAGGGAGGACATGATAATAATTTGCCAACTTTGTTGTTCCCCCTTTCTTTGGACGATACGGGTCAAGGATTGGGTAACTCCCAAGTTTGATGTGGAGTAGATTCATACTTAGGATAGAAAAATGGGCCAGGGGGAAGTTCCTTTGCATGAGGTTATTTTTTCTGTTACTCTTCATCAAGACTTAATGCTACAGTAATTTAAAACAAACAAAACCTTTGTGTCGGGCGGGGGAAGATTTTGCCCATCTTTAGAAGAATATTCTGAAAAGTAGTCCTCCTAGACTAAGGGTGGGGGAAACAGTAGTTTGAAAAACAAAATAACTGCCACTTTGCCTATTATGCTCTTATCAAGTGAGGGAAAAAACTTTTTTCTCCCCCTTTACGAGGGAGCTTGACCCATGCATCAAGGTGATGCTTATTGCAAAAAAGTAAATTTGATAATGGGAAAAATTTGGAACAGCCCTTAGGTATTGAAAATGAAATAACTTATAAAACCTGTTCCTGAAGCTTAGAAGTTGTCACAGTGATCCTCAGTGAAGTTTTAGGTATGAGAGAGGGCTCATTGGCAAAATGTCAGGGGTGCTTTTTTCGTATATAACCCATGAAGGGTAAAACAAAAAACTTTTGACAGTTACTGTATTTACTGTGTATTTGGTATTAATAAATATTAGCTACTAGCCAATCAAATAACTTTTTCATTATTCTGTTTTCACAGTGACCAAGAGAAAAATATAATTAGGCTTCTGTGTTTTAAATATAACAATAACAAGACACTGTATAATGTTTTTTGAATGAAAAAGTAAAAAGCTTCAGAAACAATCATTTCAGAGCCAACAGAGCAAGATATGTCAGCTCAGGAAAAAGCACTTGTTTGGTTTTTGTTTTTAAGCTTCTTTAAAAATAGATTTTATTTTTTAGAGCAGTTTTGGGTTAACAGCAAAATTGAGGGGGCGGGGGCCAGCCCAGTGGCACAGTGGTTGGGTGCACACGTTCCGCTTCGGCTGCCCGGGGTTCAACAGTTTGGAGCCCAGGTACGGACATGGCACTGCTTGGCAAGCCATGCTATGGTAGGCGTCCAACATATAAAATGGAGGAAGATGGGCACGGATGTTAGCTCAGGGCCAGCCTTCCTCAACAAAAAGAGGAGGATTGGCAGCAGATATTAGCGCAGGGCTGGTCTTCCTCAAAAAAAAAAAAAAAAAATTGAGGGACGGTATAGAGATTTCCCATATACCCCCTGCTCCCCCTCCCCATTATCAACACAGCCTCCCCCTTTGTCAACATCCCCACCAGAGTGGTACGTTTATTACAACTGATGAGACTACGCTGACACATCATAATCACCCAAAGTCTATAGTTTACATTGGGGTTCACTCTTGGTGTTGTACATTCTGTGGATTTGGATAAATGTACAATGGCATGTATCCACCATTATAATATCATACACAGTATTGTCACTGCCCTAAAAATCCTGTGTTCCCTCTATTTATCCTTCCATCACCCTAACCTCTGGCAACCAATGATCTTTTTACTGTCTCCATGGTTTTGTCTTTTCCACTATGTGAAATCATTGGAACAATACAGCATGTAGCCTCTTCAGATTGGCTTCTTTCGCTTAGTAATATGCATTTAAGTTTCCTCCATGTCTTTTCATGGCTTGATAGCTCATTTCTTTTTAGCACTGAATAATATTTCATTGTCTGGATGTACCACAGTTTATTCACCTCCTGAAGAACATCTTGGTTGCTTCCAACTTTTGGTGATTATGAGTAAAGCTGCTATAAACATCCATGTGCAAGGTTTTGTGTGGACGTGTTTTCAGCTCCTTTGGGTAAATACCAAGGAGCATGATTAAAAGCACTTGCTTTGGTTGGAAATTGTTTTTTGTTTTCTTTTTGAAGATAGATCTCAAATCAGGGCATGCCTAGGCCTGTTTGCTGTAAATTTTAGGCAGCCATCATTTCACCTGATGCTTTAACCCTTGAACATCCATTGCTATATGTTGGCTCAAATTTGAGGTGGTGAACAACAGATTTTTGCGTTTTCTCTGATATCACCTTATCCCCTGGCCCCATGATCATTGAGAGCGCTCGTCACCCAAATTGAAGGAATTGACTAACTCAGATGCTTTTCTCCAAAAGCACTTCTTTTGTCTTTTTCTCTTTTCCTGCAACCAGTTTCCTAGTGTGGTTCTTGTCACTTCTCATTTTCGAATCACCTTTGCTTGGCTGATATTTTAGACCCATCTTGCAGTTTCCCTGTCTATTGCTGAATTCAGAATTCTCTGTCGAAGTCGTCTGCTTATTCCAGCCTCCTAACTGTAACACAGCATCCCACTCCTCCCAGGGCTGACTGTAGACTTGCTTCATAGTATCCTGCCACCTCTTTGCAGAGACTTTTCCTTGCTTTCCTTGCATAAACTTTTCTTGTAATTTTTGTTCCCGTTCATTCTTCACTTCAGCACGTCTTCTGTGAGCAAATGAAAATAGGCCTATTAAAGTGAAAATGGGGAGCCGGCCTAGTGGCATAGTAGTTAAGTTTGCACCCTCTGCTTCCGCAGCCCAGAGTTTGCAGGTTCGGATCCCAGGCACAGACCTACACACCGCTCATCAAGCTATCTGCCACAGCGTCACACAAAGTAGAGGAAGACTGGCACAGATGTTAGCTCAGTGACAATCTTCCTCAAGCAAAAAGAGGAGGATTGGCAAAGGCTGTTAGCTCAGGGACAAATCTTCCTCACCTCCCCCGACCAAAAAAAAAGTGAAAATGGAAATATGCTGTTCTGTTTTTGTGCTATGAAAAATTTTTGAAGAAAATCAAATTACCTGGACTCAGTGCTTCAGGACAGTGGTCAGAATTCATGTGTTGTTTCCACAAGGAGTTTACTAAATAGAGGAGGAAAACTGAAACAAAAAAACGATGTGCCAAATTCATTTGCTTTTGACATTTTTTTTTACCGGTTTTAATTTTTGAGTAGGAAATAGGAGAAGCTTTTAGAAGAATAAATAATAAATGTTTAGAATAAACACTTAGAATAAACAGAAGCTTTTAGAATAAACATTCCTAAATAGAATAAATCCAATAAGAATTCTTATTTTGTCTAAATTAAGGCTGTGGTATCAAGATCAGGGACTCCTAACAGAGTCTAACTGGTGTTAGAGCAGAAAAGTCATCCAGAGCTTCCCCTTAATAGAGGAACAAAGATGAGGAATGATGCCAAGGTTGGGAGCCTGGGTGTGTAGGAGATGAATGGAACTGAGATTCTTTATAGGAATGAGGAAGGGGGTGGTTTGGGGAAGTCAGGCTTGGTAGCAGTAACGTGTCGGAGCAAACTTGACAAACTTCTTAGGAACTGCAGGGGACCCTGTGGTTGCACTGGATGTGGGAGAGCCGGGCCAGCGTTGCCGCCTATAGCTCCATGGTATAGTTTAGCGAAGGACCGTTGTACTCAGTGGCATCTCGGGTTCCCTTGAAATGCAGTTGGCACCATCTTCTGAGCGAGACGTCACTGCAGAGTTTACCCTCTCATCAGCGGTGGCCTGGATGAACACTCCAGGTGAGTCCATGCAGAGAACAAAGGATGTCATGTTGGGTCTTCAGTGGTCGTCATATCTGACTAGAACGGGGAGATGGACAGAGCAAGCACTTGGTCTTAAGACAAGGTTCTGAGCTGAGGGCTCCACAGAGCGTTAGAGTGCCAGCAAGGAGGCACTGAGAGAGGTGGGTCCAGGGCTCAGGGTAACATGCAATATTCTGATGATGATGTATACAAAGGAGTGTGTGTGTGAGAGATACATAATGTATATACATACACAGAGAGGAAAGTGGAGGGAGCGAGAGAGGAGAAGAGAAATACCACAACCCCCTAACCCATCCTGCAGCTTAAGAACTAGAATATCACCAGACTTTGGAAGCCCCCATGTGTTCCTCCCTGGCCATACTCCTCTCCCTCAAAGGGACCACTGTTCTAAATTTTGTGTTTGTCATTTCCTGGCTTTTCTATGTAAGTATGTTTCCCTAAGCAATCTATTATTAAGTTTTGTTTGCCTCAGGGCTATATATAAATGGTATTCTTGTACCATTTGCTTTTTTTCAATCAACATTTGTTTTTTATGATCCATCCCTATTGATGCATGAAGTGGTATGCATGAAATTCATTCATCTTCACTGCTATGTGGTCTTGCATTGTATGAATATATCACAATTTATTTATCTAGTCTCCTCTTGATGGACATTTGGGTCATTTCCAATTTTGTCCTATTTTAAACAGTACTCCTGTGCACATTCTTGTATCTGCATCCTGCTCTGAAGTTTCTCTGGGATAGGTGTCTGGGGGAAGAATTTCTGGGTCTTAGAGTGTGTGCATCTTCACCTTTACTGGATAATACCAAATTGTTTTCCAATGTGGTTATATTTGGATGTTCCATTTGACATTCTCATGAGTAAACAGATTAACTGTTAAGAG